CCCATGCATGTATGCTGATTGTGGTCTTCTCTATAAAAAGAACCTGGACCCTTTGAGGGGTGTGCAGCTTTCCCCGAGATTGCTGTCACCCAAGTGTACTCGTTCAATAAATACCTCTTGCTTGTTGCATCTCCTGGTTTTGGTGTTTGTGTTGCGGGGCTCTCCCACCGGCCCATCAGGACCCCAGAATTAGGGTCCAACACCAAGGTACGACCACTGGGTTCTGGCGTTGCCATATTGTTCTTGAGGTTGTTGAATGTATTCTTGCCTTGTCACCTACCTGTCTCTTCCTCCAATTGGTGTAGGCAGTGTCTATGCCTCTTTTTCCAATCCTGGCAGTCAGTGTCCTTGTCTCAGGGATCATCTCTTGAATCGATCATTGCAATTGCTGTCTGTATCTCCAAGAGCCGCTCTTGTTCAGCTCTGTGCAGTTGCTGGTGCCTCAGGAAGCTGCTGTGGCCACAGGGGATGGGTGGGTTTGGAGGTGGAACAGGACTTGTAGATTGCAGGGTGGTGCTGGAGCTGCCTGCCTGCAGGAAGCTTGCCCTCTGATCTGCTAGTGTGGCTGAGTTCAGGTGGGGGAGGGTTTTTCCATGGGACCTAGAGATTGGACTGTCCAGCTGGTAGGCTGGTCACTCATCACTTGGTCCTCTCTGTGCAATTGCAGTCTATGTCTCAGGGAGCTGCTGAGGTCATGGGAGGTAGGTGGATTTGGAGGCATAGTGGGACGGGCTTGTAGATTGCAGGGTCAGATGGAGGGGTATTGGAGCCACCTACCTACAGGAGGCTTGCTGGATGATTCTATAGTATGGCTAAATGTGTTGGGAAGGGGCCCTGGGTTTTGTGATCTAAAGACTGGGCTGTCTGGCTTGGGGGCTAGTAACCTGGATTTCTTTTCCTTCCTCTAGTCCTATTATTCTTAAATTTGGTCTTTTCAGAACTGGCTGGGTGTAGTGCATGCCTTTAATCCCAGCATTTAGGAGGCAGAAGCCAGCCTGTTCTACAGAGTGAGATCCAGGACAGCCAGGGCTACACATGGAAATATTGCCTCAAAAAAACAACAAATTGGTTTGTTTAGTGTCCCAGCTTTAATATTTTCTTTGTTCAAGGTATCCAATCTTTCTATCGTTTCTTCAATGCCTAAGATTCTCTTCTGCCTCTTGTATTCTGTTCATGAGGCTTGCCTCTGAAGTTCTAGTTTTCACTCAGTTTGCGTTATCTTGGACTGTTTAATTCAGTTTGATCCCCTCCCCACTTTGGTCTTACATATTTAAGGTCTTTGTCTTATGTTTCAGATATGTTACAATTCTCAGGGACTACTGTGATGGGGTTTCTGAGCTCTAATGGAGACATTTTGTCATGGATGTTATTGGTTATGATTTTATGCTGGCAGCTAGACATCCTGGGTTGGCAAAATTCTAGACACTGACATCTGGGCTTCTTTGTTGGATGGGCATTTTGTTGTTTTCTGTTGCCCTGATTCTTAGGAGGGTGTGGTGGCTGTGTGTTGCCTGGTAGGGAATTCTTCTGGAATTCTGCTAGGTGAGACCACTGCAGGTTCTGGGCCAAATGTGTTTCTAAGTACTGGGAGCTGAGAAGTAGGGATAGGTACGGCGGGGTGGGGTAATTAAGGCAGCTCTCAGGAGAAAGGAAAGCAGTTGTTCCACCTGGGCCTAATTTTCCCCTGAGAAATGGGGCAGGGAGTGAAGAGAGGCCACAGCAGGCGGATTGGATTTGGAGAGAAGGGAGAGGGAAGTTCTGCAGTTAGCCTACTGCTTCCCTGACTAGAATCTCCCAACTTTATTTTTATTTCCTGTTAAAAACCCTTTGTGCTATATATTGCAGTAATATTTTGTAACATGTGCCCTGTGGGCAGTCTTTAAAACAGGCTTTACTTTATTTTAGTCCATGGTACAGGTCATCCTAAGCAAAGTTGGCAAAGAAGCAGAGGTTCAACCCAGGTAATGCCTGTATCTGACAAATAGTGGCTCAAGTTCTTATATTGTCACCCCACATTCTCCGTTATCTTTCAAAATATGAGATTGAATAAAAATGAGTGTAGTTTTCCATCTAGGACCTCTTCTGACTTTCTTAGTCATGAGACATGCATGTGGTAGACAGACATACATACATACATACATACACTTACTCTGGCAAAACACTCACATGTAAAGTCAAGTAAATACATCCTTTTTTTCTTTAAAGTGTGGTGGAAACACCACCTCTAAGTAGTTGTTAATGGACATGTACCTAGTATTCCACAATAAGAGATCCACTTATACAGAGCAACTCATTACATATCCTATACCTGTGCAGATATCAATTAAAACAACATTGGAAAGGCATTTAACTGGATAAAATAAAATACTACCATATTCACAGCTGTTTGAGGTAATACACAGTTAATCTGTTCAAAGTATTGTGTCAAGGTTATACATTTCTACAAGCATACATTTTTTAGACTATTGTATGCCATAGTGTACATTAATGACATTGGTTGGGGGGGTTGTTTTACTTAGATTTAGGCAATAAAAAAAAAATTGGCTGGCTATGTTGGCCCGTAGCTTTAATCCCAAACTTGAAAGACAGAGACAACTGGTTATGAGAGTTCAATGTCAGCCTAGTCTACATAGCAAGTTCCAGGACAGCAAAAGCTTTTTGAGACCCTGTCTCAAACAACAAAAATTTTAAATCAATTAAAATTTTACATTCATTGGTAGATGTGTGGTATACTTCTTCTATGTTTCATACTTAAGATGATATGATCTTGCAGTAGCACTCAGCAAAATAAATAAATAAATAAATAAATAAATAAATAAATAAATAAACAACAAAAAACAAAAAAAATCTTTCAAAATTGTATGTGCTATAATGGAGTATTACTCAGTGGTTTAAAAAAAAAAATGACATCTTGAAATTTGCAGGCAAATGGATGGAACTAGAAAAAAAAAAATCCTGCATGAGATAACCCAGACCCACAAAGACAAAGGATAACCAGGCTACAATTCACAACTCTGAAAAGCTGGGTAAAAAGGGAGCCCTAAGAGGGACACACATGGAGGGCCCCAGGAAGCGAAAATAGTTACGATCTCCCGGGTAAACTAGAAAGGGTGAGTAGAATGGAAGAGATGGGAACATGGGGGATCAATAAGACAGAGTTGGAGGAGAGACAGAGTGGGAGAGCAATGCAAGAGATAATTTGATAGAGGGAGCCATTGTGGGGTTAGGGAGAAACCTAGTGCTAGAGAAATTCTCAGGTACCCACAAGGATGACCCCAGCTAAAAATCCTAGCAATAATGCAGAGGGTGTTTGGACAGGCCTTCCCCTTTCATCAGACTAGTGACTACACTGGCATCATAGACCCTACATCCATCCAGTAACTAATAAGCAGATGCAGTGACCCATAGCCAAGCATTGGGCTCAGCTCCTAGAGTTCAGTTGAAGACAGGGAGGAATGATCAAAAGCATGATGGGGAAAACCACAGAGACAGCTGCCTGACCCAAGCTACTGGAAGTCCACAGAGTATTGACTGAAAGCTGGGAAACCTGCATGAGACCAAACTAGACACTCTGAATTGGGTGACAGTTATGTGACTCGATCTGTTGAGGGGGCTCTGGCAGTGACACCAGGACCTACCCCACGTTCATGAACTGGATTTGTGTAGCCCATTCCCTATGGTGGGATACCTTGCTCGGCCTTTATACAGTGTGGAGGGACTTGATCCTGCCTCAACTTGGTATATCAGGCTTTCTTGAATCCCCAAGGAAAGCCTTACCCCCTCCGAGGAGTAGATGGGGGCCAGAAAGAGGGAGACAGGAGAAAGGGAGGGAGAGGAACTTGATATGCAAGATGAAAAAATAATTTTTTATTTAAAAAATTGTATGTGCTAGGTAAAACTTGGCCCATTGTGTGGTGGTGTGGAAAGGCAGGGGAACCTCTGCTAGAGGGTGATGAAAGGAGAGACGTGGGAAGAGGAGCAAGGGGAAATGACACAAAAGAAATTAGTGATAATCTTGTGTTAGTCCCAAATGTTGTATTACTTTTAATGCAGGACCAAAGCACATTGCTGTCTCTCTATACATAGCTTGCTCCCTTTCCAACTCTTCTACACACTGCAAAACAGCAAAGGAGGCCCACGGCAGAAGCTAAAATGAAGAAAAACCTGATCTTGGACTTTCAACCTAAAAAAGAAACTGTCATCAAAATAAATTTAATTTCTTGATAAAGTTCTAAACAAGCGCTTTGTTACAGCAAGAGGAAGCGGCAGAGCATACTAGTTGTCACAATATTTATTATATGAGCTGTATGTATTATCATATCACAGTTAAGGTGTCATTAAGAGAAATTTCTAACATGAATTTATAACCTGAGGGGGGCTTTTCAGTACTTAAGCAATCAATGTATCAGATCCCTGGCCTCCAACCAGGAGCCAGATCAGCAGCTCCTAACATCCAGTTAAGAAAACAACAATGCCTCCAGACTTAGTCAAAGGAATTTTCACAGACTTGTATCACCACTCATGTTTTATGTCTGGTGAATAATCAAATATTTCATGTTAAGAAGGCTATATTTAACATTACCTACATCCATATGTATAATACATAAGTTGGTGAGTCTCTCTTCATTACAATGTCTTTTTTTTTTTTTGGAGGGGGGGGAGCAGGATTTCTCTGTATTGTTTTGGAGCCTGTCCTGGACCTAGCTCTGAGACCAAGCTGGCCTTGAACTCAGAGATCCGCCTGCCTCTGCCTCCCAAGTGCTGGGATTGAAAGCATGCACCACCAACACCCAGCTACAATTTATTATAAAAATGAAAATACTATAAAAATAGTTGGCAATCATCTAATGTTTTTCTTCAGTGAGATACCCCTGCATGATAAAAAGCATTCCCAAAAATGGTTCATTGTAATCTTCTCCACAACTGATCCTTCTAAATTAACCTGGAAATGAAGAATGACAAGGCAGGCAGGCTTCTCTTCTGTATGAATTGATGTGCTGATAAAATGTTGCAGATCTCAGAAAGACTCCCTGTATTCATAAAATGAGTTATTAAGAATGACCTGTTAGTAATACAATGAGAACAGATCACACTTGGGAATTCTAAACAGTACATTTATTTCACACTAATATGCCAGGTATAAGGTACAAAGATACAGGGGAAAGATCATTGTTTTCCTCAACTAATTCTTAAATCCCAGTAAATTTCCCCCCACCAATATTTGCAAGAATGTCCTTAAGGTCACCTTCCCTTCACTTTGACATAAACTGGAAAAAACTGCTTGATGTTTGGGGGATGAGGTGGGGGGGGCGATGCTAACTCTGGAAGTACTGGAGGCTGAGAATTGCAGGCTATGTCCAGAGATAAGAAATGGTCTCTAGGGGACACACAGCCACTCAGGATTATTCCTTTGTACACATTTCATGCTGTATGCCAGTGCTTGGTTTCTGAGTGTTCTTGATGCTCTCCCACACTTCTTAGACTGTGCTGTCTGATGTCCGCTTAGGTGTGATATATAGTTAAGAGGCTTCCAATCTTTCTCAAGTAAGTTCTCTGACCCATGTTATGATGAAACTTCTACTGGAACACTGCCACAAAAACTCCATCCAGAGATTTTCCTCCCAGAATTATGGACTCCCACATAGTTTTCTAATGATTACATTTCTTGAGTTTTTTTTGCCAGTGTGGACTTGCTCATGCTTATTAAGACATGAATGATGCCAAAATGGTTTTCAACCTTAATTATATTCATAGATTTTTCTCTGTTGTGTTACTAAAAACTATTTTCCACATTCATAGCTTTCACTGAGCTCCTCTCCAATGTGTGTTAACTCAGACATATTGAAGAGCATGTATAAAACTTCTATATTCTTTACATTCATGTTTCCCCCTATATAAATATGCAGAGGCATTCCAAGTTTAGACCTGTAGTGTAGGACATTTTACCACAAGTATTACATTTATAAAAATGTCCTCCTGTGTGAGTTTTCACATATCATCTTATGGGCACGTTTTGGTGAAACTTTCATTCCTAACATTTCTCAACCCTGGCTCTCTCATGTTAACTGAGAGCTGTTGTACAGAAAGAACACCGAAACTACTCACTCAAGTGGTTCTTGCTTGAACTGTTTGAAGCATTCTGAGGCTTAAATGTCTGGCAATTATCTTTCTCTACCCATTACCATCATACTGCCCCATGTCTGTGAGTTCCCTGGTGCCTCATTAGGTTTGATTTCTGTGAAAATGTTTTTCTACATATGTTACATTCATAGGGTTTCTCCCCAGAATGGATCAGCTCGTGCACAATGAGGGATGACCTGTAGCCAAACACTTTCCCACACTGGATGCATTCATAGGGCTTTTCACCTGTGTGAATTCTAGAATGCTTACTGAGGACTAACTTCCACTGAAACGTTTTCCCACACTTATCGCATTCATAGGGTTTCTCACCTGTATGAATTATCTGATGCTTGCTGAGGTAGGACTTGTTTTGAAAGGCTTTCCCACACTCTTTACATTCATATGGCTTCTCACCTGTGTGAACTTTCTGATGAGTTTTGAGGTAGGACTTGTTTTGAAAGGCTTTCCCACACTCTTTACATTCGTGTAATCTGTCACTGTTGTGGGTTCTCTGATGCCTCCTGAGGTCTGACTTCTGGTAAAAGGCTTTTCCACACTCGTTGCATGCATAGGGTTTCTCACCAGTGTGAGTTCGATGGTGCAGGTTGAAGTATGACCTGTTATGGAAGGTCTTCCCACATTCTTTGCATTCATATGGTTTCTCACTCTTGTGAGTTCCCTGATGCATTTTGAGGTACGACTTCTTTAGAAAGGCCCTTCCACATTCTTTACATTGGTATGGCTTCTCACCAGTGTGAGTTCTCTGATGCATCTTGAGATACCACTTATGCTGGAAGGCTTTACCACACTCATGACACTCAAAGGGCTTCTCACCAGTGTGAGTTCTCTCATGTACAATGAGGGCTGATTTTTGCCTGAAGGTTTTATTACATTCACTGCATCCATAGGGCTTTTCTCCTGTGTGAATTCTCTGATGAATAGTAAGAGAAGATTTTGTGCTAAAGAGTTTCTCACACTGGATACACACATGGGCTTTGTTCTGGTTATGTGTCCTCTGGTGAACTGTAAGATCTAATTTGCTAGTAAAGGTTTTCTTACTTTCAAGGCATTTATAAAATCTGCTCCCTGAGTACGTTTCTTGGTGTTCTGTGAGGTTACATGCTTTATCAAAAGTTGTCTTCTCTACCTTAACCTTGACATCTGACTTAACAGAGACTTGTTCATACTCATTATGCGCACACAGAGTCAATCCCATTTGAAGTCTCTTAGATGAAATAATTTTTTTTAATAGTTTTGCCCCCTTTGTATCTTTTCCTTTTCCACTGTATTCAAAATCCTGCTGCCCAGTTTGAATCTGGGAATGTTGACCAAATTGCTGAGGACACTTGAGGGATTTCCCTGCCCCACAACAGTCATTATGTTGCTCTGAAGTGTACATCCCATGAGGCTCAGAAGGAAGACATGAACTCTGACATTCACTTAGCTCCTCGGGCTTCACTCCTGAACAGTCTCTATTATTTACAACAAAATTTGAAATTTTCATGGAACACAAATAAAAATTGTTTCCTAATCCATCTGTTTCCTCGGTTGCTCGATAGTGACTATTAGCAGTAACTTTCCATAAATGTCTGTCTTGACATTTCTGGTTGGTCTCAATTGTGCCATCCACATTGTAGAAGCCTAAAAGAACCAAAAAAAAAAATCATTTCTATGAATTACATTTTAGGTTTTCTAGTGGAATTCTCATGTTTATGTTAAGAAGAATTTTTCCCTATCCTACTAGCATTGTGTTTTATTAAGATCATATTAAGTATTAGTTTGTAAACTTTAGTGATGGGGGATGTCCTTCTGTATGCTGTAAATATGTTTCTCTTATTGGTTGATGAGTAAATGCTGACTGGCCAGTAGCAAGGCAGGAAGTATAGGTGGAACTACCAGACTAGGGGCATGCTGGGAAGTTGAAAGGCAGGGAAGGAGTTGGGGGAGGGAGCCAAGAGAGAGAGACCATATAGCTACCAGGAAGATAGGATGCTGGGCATTCTCCAGTAAGCCAAGGCCATGTAGAAATACATAGATTAATAGTTATGGGTTAATAATTAAAAGAGAGCTAGCTGATAAGAAGCCTGAGACATGGGCCAAACCGTTTATAATTAATATAAACCTCTGTGTTTATTTGGGGCTAAATGGCTGTGTTATATCTTTTGATATACTGAAACACACAGATAGGTTAACATATTTTTCCTCACTTTATTTTTGTGAAGAAATATTTTGTTAAAATATTCACCAATTGCTAGGTACACTTTTCCACTTAGATAATGGTTACATTTTTTTTTTTAACAATAACCTATTCTTGTATATACTTTGATATATGACAATTATGATCATTTTTTCTGGCATTCACTTTATTCTGGTCTAAAGAGGGCCATAATTTTTTTGAACATCTTCTTTGCAGATTATGAGAAAAGTCCAATAGGCTGCTTCCTAACCTGAAGCTTCCCTTATGACCATGAGTTTGTATCTTTATTTGTTTAGAGCTATTACTTTCAGGAGTCATCATGGATTTTGAGTTTTTCAAACATGAAATTTCTTCCTTTCCACTTTCACACACAACAGATACCAGTAATTGAGGTCTTAATTGAACAACATGTCCACCACCCTGGAGAAATATGTATGATGTACATCATCATCTCTAATGTATCTGGCTACTTATGATATTATGAGCTTTGATATTCACCCCCAAATTATTGATATACACCCTTATGTCTTTTAATCCATAGATTCTTAAAGGTGCTACTGTGTTTACAGAGACTTTACTGCTTGAAAATAAAATCCCCATGAGATTGAGTATAAGAGGCAACTGAAACTATGGAAAAAAGTGGTACCAGAGAAAAATATCAAATAACAGAAGTCAAAGATCAGACTTCAGGAGTAAATCTTAGAAAACTTACATCAAAATGAAAGGTAGGAACATATTCAAGAGAATTCTCCTTATAGACAATGAAATGAACATGTCTGAGCCCTCAGATATGGAAGTTGGGATAAAGTGGTAAAATGGCCAACATATGCTAGTCTTGATCTCCCCAACCATGAGTACGACTAACCTGGCAGACTCTGGTTTACAGACTCTTCTGCCGTCCATGGCTCTGCTCCTTGTTCCAATTTGAAGATCAACTCAGGTTTAGGGATGCATAATCCTGTTAACAAGAAATGCAGGACTTGGAAAAAATCCGCTAATGAGGTTCTTTGAATAAAGACAAAACCAGGTTTTAGGATCTGTGCAATGAAAGTGCAAATGTGAACTGCCTTTCCCTAGAGGGCAGTGAGCAATCATAATTGATGACCTAGATTTAAATCCCACACTTTTAAATCACAGCTTCAAATCCCACATTTGAAAGTGCTTGCCCCTGAGACATACTCACCCAGTGACACCAGGCTGCTGTACGTCTCTAACATCACATTCCTGTACAGCACCCTCTGAGCATCATCGAGATTCTGCCACTCCTCCCAGGTGAAGTTCACAGTGACATCCTCAAATGACACCAAATCCTGTAATAGCACATTTCTCTTCAGTCTCTATGCTTATAAATGGGAAGCTGAAAACCCAGCTTCTCTTAAGGCATGGAAGGCTCTCATGCATATTTTACATTATTATTTGCCTTGCTCATATAGTAGGAAAAAAAGACACATTGATTTATTAATGGCCTACAATGATTACTTTATAGATTAAAACCTTCACAATTGGTGTAAGAGAACCCAGGCCATTCAAGTAACCATGCCTTAATCACATAGGGCTGCCCATGAGCCAAGTGAACATAAGCAGGCCTCGCTCTGCATCCCAGGGGTTGGAGGCAGCCTGACTACTGTCATGTTGTACGGGTCGTGCAATAATAATCCCCACTCCCAAAGAAAGAGTGAGCTTTGTCACTAAGTCACATCGGCCCCACTCTCCTAGCTCAGTCATGGAGCGTAAGTCATATGTTAACCAAACCTGCTTCCTGCAAGACCTCCCCTTCCTCAGAAACCTTTGAAAGCATAACCTTTGTTTCACTTGGCATGGCTGAAACTCTCCTTGGAACCTTGTCTCAACCACACAGGCAACTGCACACCATGGTAATAGTCCTATACGTAGTATCATATACAGGAAAATGAACCTTGTAGTGAATGATTCTGTATTTACATATCTAGATGAATTTCTTTTTTCTTTTCTTTTGGTTTTTCAAGATAGGGTTTCCCTGTGAAGCTCTGACTGTCCTCACTGTACAGTGCAGGCTGGCTTAGAACTCAGAAATTCACCTGCCTGTGCCTCCTGAGTGTTGGAATTACAGGCATGTGCCACTACCACCCAGCTAGATATCTAGACTAATTTTTATGGAAAGTGCATGTTGGAGAAGCAGCAGGTAGCAACTGAAGTTCAGGAAGTCGGCCAACCAGGAAGCAAAGCCTTGATGGGTGAATCTAGGATCAGCAAGGCCCTGGGGGCTTTGACCACACAGTGTCTCTTGCTACTGCTGTGCCTTCACACATTTGCTGCTGGTTGGTTTTTTTTTCCCCCCCCTCTGGAATCTGGCATGGTATGAATGGGTGTGGGGGGATCCCAACTGCCCTTAATGTAGTGCAATTATCTCGTGGAAATAGCCTGTTCTGCTGGGCATTTTTACCTGTGGATTATTGTGAAGATGATTTCCTCCTAAATTGTACTGTTTAACTGAAGCAATGATTTATACAATAATAGTGTTAGTTTAAATAAGATTTTGATGAATGAGGCTCTTTAATAAATATAGTATGAGATTATGATAGAGGTTAGCTTAGTGGAAAAACTAATACAAGTGAAAGCAAGATACGGTGTTGCCCCTGCCCCTGATAAAGCAGGGGTTGCAGAGGACAGAAAATAAGAACTAGGAAGTGTCACACAGCTAGTTTCTCTTGAGGAGTCATATGGACTGTGACTTAGGTTAATGACCAAGAAAAACAAGTGAGTCTCAGTAGCCCAGTCAGCTCAAATTCTTTTAATCTTAATACTAGGAAATGCATTCACAAGTTTTGGCATGCATCATAGCTAAAACAAAGCTTTAAACAATGACTTAATGTTAGGTTAAGGTGTTTTTGTTACTAGCTTTAAGGTAAAAAATCTTGGAAAACAATTTAAAGGCTTTCCCCTCAGTCCCTGAGCTACTGGAAGCTGGTCCACACAATAGCAGTAGGTAAGTTTTTTGTTTTTGTTGTTGTTGTTTGTTTGTTTGTTTTCCAGACAGGGTTTCTCTATGGCTTTGGAAGCTGTTCTGGAACTAGCTGTTGTAGACCAGGCTGGCCTCGAGCTCACGGAGATCCACTTGCCTCTGCCTCACAAGTGCTGGGATCAAAGGCGTGTGCCGCCAATGACCAGCCTAGCAGCCAATGACCAGCCTAGCAGCCAATGACCAGCCTAGCATGTACTCTGATATTCCAATATTTCCTTGCTGTATACAAATAACTGCTTATTATTTGTTATTTGTAAGACCTACTGATTATAAAATTATAATATAATATTATAAAGTTGTATCAGAACAAGTGAACTGAGAAGATCTGGATTTCAACAGCTATCTCCTAGAAAAACTAGAAAAGCTTATGGGATAGTCAGAAGGAAAAAAAGAGAGTAAGACATGGGGATGTTTTCAGACATAGAAGAGGAAAGAAACACATACACAACAAATAAGCAAACCAAAACCTTTACAAATGCTTGTGAAATTCATACTTCACAGGTAGAGTCTCTCCAAAGACATTGAGGTTAAACAACTTCTACTAGATAAAACATGGATTAAAACAACTCTATGAGTAAAAGTTTTAGAATATTTTGAAGTGGAGAGACAGAGTAATGGTTCAGCAGTTAAAGATGCTTGTTACCAAGCCTGACATACTAGATTACATTCCTGGGGCCCCACATGCTCCTCTGGTTTGTACTCACATGTGTGTGTGCTTTATGCACACACATACACATAAATGTAAAAAAAAAAAAAAAAAAAAAGAATATTTTGAACTGAGTTTTTAAAAATGAGTAAAAGTAAAAATTGTCGACTACAGCATAAACTGTTACTAGAAGGAAACTGATGCCATGAAATAAAATATTAGTAAGAATAGGCTAAAATCAGTAATCTAAGTTTGTACCTTTTAAGAGCAGAAAAAAACAAAAACAAATTGAATATAGCAAGAAGAAAAAGATAAGAATCAAAGAATAAATCAATGAAATTCAAATGGAAAAGTTAGCATACAGGGCACACACAGAGAAAGACACACCACACACTCTGCTCAGCAGTTAAGGGTTACAACTATTCTGGAACTGAGTTCAGTTCCTAGGTAGAAATCAAAGGAAATTAATGGGACATAGGCTACAAAGTCAGGAAGAAGGCAGATCTTGATGACAAAAATCTTAACTTTATTGTTAAAGATGAAACAGAAAAGTCACCAAAAGCAGACCATTATATTGACCCATAACACAAATCCCCAAAATAAAATCCTATACATTCTCTGAATATAAATCCTTTAAATAAAGCCAGTATCAAAACAAGAGTCCAGGAATGACTCAATATTCAGAAATTAAATACTATACTTTGAAATAACCTATGAGCTAAGCAAGCATTCATGAAAAATACTGAACTTGGGACAAACACTGAACATAGACTTTTGGGAGTGGGCCACAACTACTGGACAATTCTTCCAATATGGTGAAAACTAAATCCCCTTAAGTCTTGCCGGTTTAGTCAATTGGTTTAGTCAATGAAACATGGCAAAGGTACCACCTGGGAAATTCACAGGCAAGGTAGCAAAAAGTCACAAATGAAAGGGTCCCTACAAGTGTCATACAAGGAGACAAACCACTGAAGAGATACGAAAACCCAAGGGAGGGAGGGCGCACGCCTTTGATCCCAGCACTAGGGAGGCAGAGGCACGCTGATCTCTGAGTTTGAAGCCAGCCTGGTCTACACAGCAAGTTCCAGAACAGCCAGGGCTACATAGAGAAACCTGTCTCAAAAAAGAAGAAGGAAGAAATGAGGCAGTGAGGGAGAGACAGAGGGAAGGAGGGAGGGAGGGAGGGAGGGAGGGAGGGAGGGAGGGAGGGAGGGAGGGAGGGAGGGAGGGAAATGAAAACCCAGTACAGACTGGCTTTGTCCACCTGGATCACACCCTGGGGCGTCTAATACCAGGTCATTGTGGGCATATTTAAAACACAGGACACTTTGGGGAAAGCTTTCCAGGCAACAGTCTAATCAGTCCAATTACAAGTGCACAGCGAAGCTTAAGGCGCGACTACACAGAGACTTTTCAAAGTGCATCTGACCATGAGGATAGGGTCTGTAGCTAAAGGGCCTAGAATCTAGAGTGGTCTCTGAGCAACAGCATTAAGGTGAGAAGGCCACAAAGTGCATGGGACATCTCCCCTAAGGACTGGTAACTGTGGAGGGAGGGAAGAGTCTGGAATAATCATTCTGGTGAATTTGGGTGAGGTTTGCCCCTATAACAAAAGGTGGATGAGGTCTGCCTCCAAGATAGGAGAAGGGTCACCACTCTCGGCTTTCTGGATGGAATAGTGGTATTTGATTTTTAGCTCCTGCATTGAGGAAACACCCTGCAATGATTGACATTCCTGGTTCTCTTTGTGCTTCTCTGTGAGTACAAGGACCAACAACATGGCTATGTTAGGAAACTAAGCACGGGAAGGAAATCCAGCTGCCCTGAGACAACTGACAAAGCACATGGAAAATCCAGAAGAACCTTTCCTAGGACACACGGAACTTCCTGCAACTGCCCACTGCCACGATGCAGTGAGTGGTCTTGTAATAATCCCAGCTCTGCTTTCAACCACACACTCCAGCTGCTACACCCCTGCAACACTGAGTACAGGCAGCCAGCAGAGAACCCACATCACAGAACCAGAGGTCATTTTCAGTTGTCACTTTTTTAGGATGATTTTTGATCCATGGTTTGAGTATGGAACATACTCCACGGATCCATGCATTAGACGTGGTCATAAGCTGGTGACGTTATTTTTAGAAGTGAAGGAAGCTTCAGGAATTTGGGACCAGCTGGAACTAGATGACCAGGCCCACGTCTTTGTACATTATATTCTCTGGCCCTTTCTGACTCTTTCTCTCTGCTTTCTACACCCAGCAGAGCTGGTTTCTGCTATGTGAGAGCGGGAGAACTGGCCCTGCCCCTCACTGTGCATCACTGGGGTGCACAGGCCCTTCACCTCACTTGGGCAGCACAGCAGAACCCACCCTACTGGAGAGGGAGCAGGGAGCCGGCTCTGAAAGCGTGAGAGGGGGAGAGCTGGCCCTTCCCATTCTCACTCCTTGCCACCTGTAGCAGGCCAGAGAGCTGGCCCTGCACCTCACCTGGGCAGCACAATAGACCCTGCTAACACTGGCACAGTGAGTGAGCACCAAGAGCATGAGCATGGGAAATCAGGCCCCACCGTCTGCCATATGCAGAGAGATGCCCTCCCCTCAACCCCTTGCCACCTGTGGTAAAAGGTGAAAGGTGAAAGAGCTGTGCCTGCCCCTCATCAGCTGTAGCACCTGAGAGAGTGGCACCTGGCAAAACAGTAGAGTTGGCCCAGGTGGTGTATGTGTAGGTGAGCCGTCCCTAAGGGTATGGGGGGTTGTCACCCATGACATCAGCCCCACCCCCTGCTGGTTGCTGCATAGGGTGAGCTAGCCAGGGAAGTGTTCACCCTGGCAGTGAGGATGAGGGAGAGCTGGGGGGCTGACCAACCCTGCAGCCACCCAGGGCTACAAGGGCTACAAGCTGACCCATCCCAACATTCACACCACGTATGATCTGCTGGAGCACGTGAACAGCCAGTCCTACAGATCCAAAGCTACAGGATCTCTATAGGGCAACAACAGAATATCCAAGAGGAGTCCCAGTGAGGGCCCAGTGTCTATAAAGGAACAGAAACCAGAGGCCTCGGGACCTCTGACTCACTGCAATGAACACTTGCAAGTAAAGATGCATGGACTAAAGGCTACACTGAGTGACTCACTGTGTCACACTACAGCTTCCAGGATGAGATTTTTTTCTTTTTCTTTTCCTTTTAAATTTTATTTTATTTCATTGGGGGGAGGGGGTTTCAGGGGCAGAGGACAGTTGTGAAGGGATGGGGAAATGAATGGGATCAAGATGCATGATGTGAAATCTACAAAGAGTTAATAAAAAGTTTAAAAAAAGAGAGAGATAGAGAAGAAAAGAAAAAAGAAAGCAAGGAAGGAGAGAAGAAATAGGGACAGTTAGGGCATAGTTCAGTAATAGGAGAAAACTTAACATTCATGAGACCCTGGGTTCAAGCCCCAAGCTACATACACCCAAATTAAATGTAAAAGGCTTCTGAGTATTTGACTGACATAAGTGAAGAAAAGATAGTTGCTAGAGAAAAAGACTATCAACTGAGAGACTTGCAGAGCCAGGGAATAGTACGAAGACACATGAAGCGTGGCTGGAGTAGGCTTTCAGCAGAGAACTGCCATAGGTATCTAATGGCAATAAACGCCCAAATCAGTATACACAAGGTACCCCACATCCCACCACCCTTGACTTCTCATAAGTGCCCATCGTGTGTACTTGCCAACCTCTTCACTATGTGCGAGATGTGTACGGAATGGGAGGTTAACAGGAACTTAATCATGATTTCATCCAGTTCTATTACTGGAAAAGCCTCATAGTGGAAATGACAGTGGTCAAAGATATTTAAAATCTGGGAGAAATATGAACAATATGTGGCAATGAGGAAAACTGTAATTCATTAAATGCTGTTATAATTACTGCTAAAAGAGTTGAAGTCTAATTCTCTCCACAAGTTTGGACAGGTCTTATTGATGGTCAGACTATGAATAAAAGAGCAATATGTAATCAAGTGGGGAATAAACAACTCACCACGTATTCATTCATGACGTCACTAAGTTGCTTGGTTATGGTTTTGCCCTTGGAAACACATATGTGATACCAGAGGTACAGTTGAGAAAAGGAGAATAATGGAGAGTCATGTGAGTAACAGCATACTCATGGCTTGGTCCTAGGTTCTCCACTCACGCTATGCAATTAGCTGAAAAAGAATAAAACATAAAATTGTAAAAAAAAAAAAGATAGCCCTACCGGCAGTGGTGGTGCACACCTTTGATCCCAGCACTCGGGAGGCAGAGACAGGCAGATCCAGCCTGGTCTACTTTACAAGAGCTAGTTCCAGGATAGCCTCCAAAACCTCAGAGAAACCCTGTCTGGAAAAAACAAAAACAAAAACAAAACAAAAAAACAAAAAACAAACAAAAACAAAAATCATTCCTAGGAGCTAGAGAGATGGCTCAGTGGTTAAGAGCACTGACTGCCTTTTTCCAGAAGATCCAGGTTCAATTCCCAGCACCCACATGGCAGCCACCAACTGTCTGTAACTCTAGTTCCAGGGAATCTGGCACCCTCACACAGACATACATGCAGGCAAAACACCAGTGCACACAAAAATAAATAAATCCTAAAAAAAAGAAATAAAGGAAGAAAATAGAAAGTACAACAAAGACACCATTGACAATGGATTCACAAGTACATTCAGAGCCATTACACATGACAGTTATGGCTGAGTTAATGAGTACAAACATCTCCAAGTAATGAACAATTTGGTAACAATTAACATTCCCTTTTAAAATTAATTAATAATTAAAACCAGAATCATTGTTTTCCCTACTATTAATACAGAAATGCATCTATCACATGAAATATTCTATTAATCCACCCAAATGATCTCCATATAAGCACTTCTTCTATACTTTTTTCTTTATCCAGCTCTTGTTCATGTAAAATATGCAGATTGCAAGATTTTTTTGCCCATGTTTATACAGGAAAAAAAATTAAACAATGCATATTTCTTATAGGACACTGATGTTCAGGATTGTTTCCAAATGGGACATCTCTATGTATCCACACCCTGATTTAGTTTCCATAAACAATATAAGCCATTTGACTCACTTGACCAAGAGAACTCAGTAAATGTGAAGACAACCTGAGCCTGAAAAGTATTTCCTGTCTGGTGCTTACCTGCCAGACACAGTTATGTTGTGAAGAATCTTGGTGCCAGCTTGATGGAAACAGAGCCTTGAAAAGACTCAGCAGGGACCACTAGAGGAACACAGAAAGAACCAGCCTCAAAGCACTGATGACTCAAACACCATTCATCCCTGAAGGCAGGAAGATGCAGCACTTTCCCATCTGAGACCAGTCAAGATATTGACCTATGTGAAGAAAAAATTAAATAGTTCTTTAAAGCAAAATTTTTGTTGATTTGTTGTACAAGAAAGGCTGATACATTCAATGATTTCTATTTCAATTTGTTTTAACATATAATAGAAAGTACTTTCCAGGCATGACAACACAATAAAAAGTATTCTGTAACCAAATGCCTAATGTTTGCAAACCACAGTAAGAATAGCTGAAGTCACATTATTCAAACAAGCAGTGTCTGGCTACAAAGAAGGTGTCTAAGCTTTTCCACAGAGAAGCTGTTACTTTCATGTGAGTGTAGCATTCTGTAGTATTTGCATATATAGGTTTAGACATAAGTTTGATGTGATCTGACTTCTTCATTTTACAAAACTGAGACTGAATCCTATTATTTCCATCCTTATGAATTTTGGTTAACAGAATGCTAGTATTAACATTTCTATTTTTAACCCATAAGGTGAAAGACACCATGTACAGAATGTATTGATGATAACAAGGGTAGGAAGCTTAGGTCAAGGTATTTGGAAAGAGTTTGAAAACCAAGCACTTTGTTCTGTGGCAAAGCATTTGCAAATCACACCCAGACACTGGATTTTAACACCAAAGATAGAAGCATCCAAATCTAAGACATGTACATGGTAACTAGAAATCAGTATTAGAAAATATACAAACACTGATTTTTGTTAACTGCATATGGTAAACAGACACACATTCAGACAATATCCTCAGACATACAAAATTAATTAAAATTTTGAGCTCACACCCTGGAAACAGTGATAGAAGAGAAAGAAAAAAGGGAACTTAACGACCACTGATCAGCAAGGTGTAACAGGGAACCCCCTCCACACTAGATCACAACTTCCAGATCCAATAAGTATTTCCCAGGTCCTTGCCTATCTTTATTAACTAAACTGGTAGAAGAGAGCTAACCTCAGCCTCCTAAAGAAGATCAAGTCCCTGATTCTCTTCCATATATTGATAGCTCCTGAGAAGGTGGTAGCTTTGCCAAAAAAAAAAAAAAAAAAAAAAAAACTGTTCTAAGCAATGGGATCAGTGATTGCTTAGGTCACGAAAAGCTAAGAGTTTCATCTTCACACTGCCTCTGATCAAATGCACTAGTTGTGGAGAGAAGGCCATTAATAGTAGATCTTGCCTGCCATGGAGCAGGCCCTCATTGGAGAATTTTCACAAGACTGAGATTGTTTACATGGCCATTACACAGCTGGGATTACAACCACAGTAGCTCTTGCTTAACTCCCTGGAGACATACACAGATGCATGTGGACCGATCTTCACACATCATGTATTACATGCCAGAGAAATGCACACAAAACATCTCCCTCTAACTGAACCAATGCATCCCCTGCCTTTGCCCTCACCCACAGCTCATTAGCCTGTGAGGCAGGTGGTACTATAGTTGCTGCCCAGCTTGCAGCTCTATTGCATTATACTCAATAAACATAGTTCTTATGGTCTAAAAAGCAAATTCATTCACAGCTCACAATCTTTCCCTGTACAGGCCACCAACATAGTAGGCTGAGCACTAAGGTAATCGAGAAGGAATTGAGTAGTCCAGATTGGCCACTCTAGTGAAATGTTAACGTGTCATGATATACAGGTACTTTCAATTATGCAATATCCGCCATGAAAACGTGGGCAGACCCTGTTAATCAAAGTGCAGTTTTAGTCAAAGGAGCCTGTATCACAAGGTACTGCAGAGCTTTGGAGTTAGGTTGCAGGATTCTAAGGCTTGGGGCCAGAGCTAATTCCCTACCCCTACCCAGCACTTCCTGGTCTCCTATTAACAGTCTTGCTCCACACTAGCGGGATGGAATCCTACAGATGAAACATACTCCTTCAGAACTTGGAACCCTCCCCCCACCACTTTGTTTCCAGGAAAATGTTCCTATTTCAATACTAGAATCTTCTGCAAAAACGACTCATCTCTGGTGACTAGATATTTGCAAAAATGAAACAAAATCCTCCAGGACAGTGGTTCTCAACCTTCCTAATGTTGTGACCCTATAATACAGTTCCTCATGCTATGGTGTCCTCCCCCCCCCCAGCCCCACCATAAGCATCTTCGTTGCTACTTCATAACTGTAAGTTTGCTAGCTATAAATCGTAATGGAAATATCTGATGTGTAGGATGTCTAATATTCGACCCATTGGTTGAGAACCACTATGAGCTCAAACCAGGAGTGCCAAGCTGGCCACTGTCAAGCTGGCTACGCAGTGCATAAGGAGGCGGGGGGGGGGGGTCACTTCGTGAAGAGACAGGGAATTTAACGAATGCAATCGCCAATTCCCGACGGGGTCTACAGTCACTGCGTGAGAATTTCTCTAGGAATTTCAGGTCAGTTCATTAGGATAACAAACATCCTCTTTCGTACAGATCTGTGGGTCACAGGCCCCCTTCAGGCTCCAGCACTGTGGTGTCAACTTACACTTTCCCAGGCTCGTGGTTTGGGATTTCTGGGTCATGCTGGTGAAAATCCCCGGGTTGGGTCTGTAGTCTGGTCTCATTCATATCATCGGTCTTTCTCCACCCCAACCCCCAACCCCCACCCAACCCGGTCTAAAAAAAAAAAAAAAAAAAAAAAGATGCAAACAGGTATCCGGCTTCTTCACTGGCAAGGGCTGGAATGTGAGCTCACACCGCAGGACCCCTGACCCCGGCCCCGGCCACTACAGACACGCACCGCCCTCACCCCCAGGTCGCCATCTTGCTTCCGTAAGGCCTTTGGACAGTTGGAACCACACACCCGGACACCTCCCGGCGCAGTCTTCTGACACAGCAACCATGAAAGCACGACCCAGACCGTCTGTACCGACTGGGAATGGTGTGGGTCTCGCAGTCTCCTCCCAGACCCGTTCTGGTCTGCACTGCGTCTCAGTCCACCACCAAGACCCACCTATGTATCTGCTTCCCCCGAGAGAAGGGGTTCGGGTCCCGCTTCCGAGGATCGCAAGGCCACTCTCTTTCTTCTTCGCACCCACCTCCAGGAGCCCCGCACTAAACTCTCAGCCAGACGAACGGCGACGCCAGGAGGCGACTTTCTAAGCCCAATATCCCAGGAGAATGCTGGACAGAGGCGCAGGCAAGGCGACAGCCAGAGCTGTTTACCTGATCCTGTGTGGGATGCGTAGGTGTAAGGGACTACATTACCCATGAGCCTCTGAGTAACTATGGCAAGAGTAAAAGGACATTTCCCCCATCGGATCCACACTCGAATTGTCAGGAGTAGTGGATTTCACGGTTCAGAACAGGTGGCTAAGCTACCTTATAAGAGCGATGTGAAATTCCTTCACCTTTCTCTCATTCGAACCCCAGGTATCCCAAAGCAATATAGAACCTGAGAAGGAAGCTGCATTGTGTTCACTCTAGAAACAAATCAAATACCTCTGTGGAGACACTGAGTCAGGAATGATACCTGTTGGTGATTATACAGGTTTAAAGCAATAGAAAGTCTTTCTTAGCTAGCTGGCAAACTACCCTGGGTGTTTGGGATCACGGTGAAGCTCAAAATCTTTCTCAGGGTGAGCTTTTAAGTACGATAACCATGCCTTGAATTACTTCGGTTAAGAAGAACAGTTACCCAGAAGGAGAACGAGAGAAGCCAAAAAGCAAAGTTACCTATTTAGAAACTTTCCCATTATGGATTTTGATAGCTTATGCCTTTGTTTTAGTTTTGGCAGGTGGTACTGTCTACATACAGTCTGAATAGTATTTCCATCATGGAGACAGTTGTGCTGAGGTCTCAGGGCCTCCTGGGGTCTGGATTCCTGTTGCAATACCTTCTTCTGTTGACTGTCCAGAGCTCTGCTGAATGTTTAGTGTTCCCCACTTCCAGCATCACCAGTAAATTGTCCAACTCAGCATTCTGATTATACCATACAGTCATTTTCAAAATTCATATTGAAATAGACCTCATGTTAGAAGGATGTAACAAGAAACTATGTAGATGGACAAGAGAAAAAAGTCAAAGTATTTCCTGTACATTGCCAAAAATGTATAGGAATAATGGGAATTTGAAATGAAAAATAAATCACTTCCTGCTGGGCAGTGATGGTGCATGACTTTAATTCCAGCACTCAGAGGCAGAGGCAAATCTCTTGAGTTCAAGGCCAGACTGGTCTACAAAGAGAGTTCCAAGATAGCCAGAGCTACACAAAGAAACCCGACTTCAAAAAAGAAAATTCACTTCCTAAAATTGAAATGATTTCAAAAATTCTTCAAAAGCTAAGGGTGGTGGCACACATCTTTAGTCCCTGCAGTGAGATTAAGGAAGTCAAAGGAAGGCAAATCTCTGAGTTTAAGGCCATTCTGGTCTACAGAGTAAGTTCCATAACAGCCAGAACTACACAGAGAAACCCTGCCTCAAATAAAGGAAGAGGAAAAAGAAAAGAAACTCAGTAAACCAAACATGTGAGACAAGTCAGACAAGTCAAACAAAATCTAAATAAATGTAGACATTCCTTGCTCAGAGTTGAGTTGATAGATTCCACATAATTAAGATAAGATTTTCAACATAATCTAAACATTCACTATGATCTTAATAAAGCTCCCATGAAAGAGTTTCTGTCTGTAAAGCGAAAGACATATGGTCTCAAACTTACAGGGATCCACCTGTCTCTGCCTCCCTAGTGCTGGGATTAAAGGTGTGGAACACCAGGCCTGGCTCTTAATAACTTATTCCTAATGAAGTAATGAAGCATCATCCTGAGGATTATTTTATTAAAAAAAATCATAGCCTCTATTTGCACATTCTTTCTTCCTCTTACACCATTTGGTCTGAAGGAAGCCAAACATCATCTGCCAGGCTGTGCTGCAGAGAGGTCCATGTGAGTGATTGATCTCAGAAGCCAATTACACAACTCAAATGCAGCTTGTGATGACTGTACCCTAGATAAGAATTTGACTTAGAGCTAAAACCGCCTTAATAAGCTCTAAGTTTCTGGATCCCACAAATTATAATAAATTATTGAGGTCTTAAGCCACTAAACTTTA